ACAATTACAATTTCTTTATTTTGTTAAAGTATTTTTAAAAGTATATAGGTTATTATATTTATTCCAAACATGTTAATATGTTTTTTGAAAAGAGAAGACATGGAATATTGAACTGACATTTCTTTTTGATAATGATTACTTCTTCGGTCTCTTCACTTACCAATTGTAACTCCATAAATAACTAAAGTTATTTCATTCTATTTTACTGACATTTTAGATATTTTAATATTAATTTACTAATTTATTCAAGTATCTAACTTAAATATAGTCAAATTTGTATTCATTAATATGCAAATTGACTATTACTGTTTTAATACAATCTCCATAATAAATAAACGCTACACCTTACTTAAAAGCAATACCAAACCAACGTGTTTGTATCGGAAAAGCTTATCTCGACAATAAAATTACTCTAAACATAGCCCACGGTGAATGGGTTAGATAGTTGATTTCAATTACTAAAACGGAAGATAAACAAAATTATTATTGATTACTAGTAGCTGCCAGGAGCTACTTATTATCTACCTACTGCATTATCCACTTACTCCTCAACAAGATATTTTAAAGTCCATTTACAAAAGTAATATATATGTGTTCCATATTATTAATGTAGTCTAGTGTCTACTAATGTGGGATAAAACCGGCCCTCCGTTGCATTGAATTGCTAATATAGGCCTTATTGCTATCGATGTACCATTTGCTTAATTCCGTACAATACTTCTTATTCTGACTTCGTCCTTATATTTTCTTTCATGTTTGCCCCGTCAGCGTACCGATCCATCCAATTAAAAATAAAAGTAGACTAAACTAAATCTGTTATCTGAAAAAGAAACCTCAATATGGAATGCATGTCTATGCATGAATAATTTTATAATGTAAATAAATCATCTAGTAAATTAAAATCAATATTACTTATTTTCGTTTCGTCTCGGGTTCGATTCCTCGCACGGTACAGATATTTGTAATCATGAGCATGATTGCTTGTATCAATTTGAGTGTATTCTGTGTATATTATGTATGTATTTACATAAATAAATTTATCAAAGATATATATTTGTATCAGTAGTCTAGTACCCATAACACAAATTCTGGTTAGCTTGAAAATAGATGGCGCTGTGTGAATTATCCTGAGATATATGTGGGTCAGCTAGTTTTCAATACTCTATGTTTCCTTCCTTACATTTTAATTTCGTTACTGGTATTTGAAATACGAAACTTGTAATATCTAATGAACAATCATAACTCCAACTTTTAAAATGAGTGACAGTGAATTTCGTTATTATAATTAATGGTGAGTCTTCATTTATGTAATGACCCAATGACCCGATTTTTCTAAGTACGGCCCTGGTTCCCATCACAATACATTGCTCACTGTGAAGAGACAATAACTAGATATTCGGGTTTACGCGTCGTTGTGAAATATGTAATGGGATTGTTTCAATGTCGCGTTGAGTAACACCGTTAAGGTAATTAAACACCAAACACTGTGAGAAACTGTTTACATTCTGTGCATTTGTTGTAGGGCTAATTTGAAAGTATTTCCTTAATTTAAATAAACCGCGCAATAAGGCTTACATGTACGAGTGACTTTATAGAAGAAAACCTTATCTGAGGTAATAATTTTATTACTAACAATATAGGATATATTGGGCATAGGTCCTAACGTTTCCTCTTTCAGACAACTGGTCTATGATACAATATACCGAAATCAGTGAAAAGACAGAATATGGAGGCTTGACATCTTGTTCACTGGAATGGCAATACATGAGTGTTACCACGTGAGCCATGATGTATTCTGTCACATCCATATTGCTGTCCTTGTATACAGACTATGGTTACCACTTTCCATCAAAAGGAATTAAAAAGCATAAATTGTTTTAAAAAAAGAATATTACTAAAAATTATAAGTTCATAAGCGGCTAAAATGGTCTACATAAATAAAGTATTTTTAAATTAATTTGTTATACTATGATTACTTATTACTAAACTGCATAGTTAATTTTTCAGAACAAATATTTAATATAAAGACATATAGCCAATTTATAACAATGGCAAGTACAAACATCTATCAAGAATGCAATACCTTCTAAACAGTTCTTGAGATATGGAATGATTAAGCATTTAAATGTTGAACTAAGAAGTAATAAGACACACTAAAACATAACAGTACACTTTAAATGGTAGTCTATAGAAACACAAATTTAATTATGTATATAACTGAAATGAATAAAGATAATTTGCAAGCCCGTCCAAAACATAATACTACATAATGGTTGTGCTAAGAGGTCGTATATTATTTCCAATTCATATCATTCGCAATTACCGAAGGAGACGGAACGCACAAAAAGGAATTGAGTGACAGAAAAGATTGATTTTATTCAATTCCCAACGATTCATCGCGGTCGAGTCGGACTTCTTTCTATGTAAAATACGTCAATTTTTTAGACAAATTGATCAATCCCGGTAGATGCTCCTTCACAATCGAGTACGGATCGGTGCCATCCATCATCTTCTGTCACTATATATTGCACCAGACGTGTGTTTTGTTTGTATATTTTGTCTTTTATGATATATCTTTTCTATTATCGTTAATTACGACTGGGAAAATAAATTATTTTTTTAACCATGGAGACAACGTAATTTGCGACAACTAAAGTCTCAATATGTATTTTTTAATTTCAACGATAATAAATAATATATATTGCTCTCCCTTGCCTAGTTCGATTAACATCCTTCCTGGTGAACGTCTTTACCTTAATTTTCATTAAGATTCATCCTTTTAGTAGTGAAAAGGTTACAAACAACATACACAGGATTAAACCGTATGTAACCTATACATAATTAAGTCTACATGATAATGAAAATATTACCTTCAACATGTAATTTTGTGTTATTCAATAATATGACATTGTAACGAATTCAAGGTTTCTTTCATTGTTCTGGTGCATTATGGTTAGGTATTATATAAAATTTAAATTGTACAGCGGCAATGTCTAATACAAATAATTTCCTAAAATACAAACATTTGCCCTTGACGATGTTTAGAACAAGACCTACATTCTAATAACCTTTTGAATGCAGTTCATAGAACATTGGGCTAACGTCAAGTTTTGCATAATAACGAGACAATGGGGGATCGGGCTTGTCATTACAAAACACTAGAAAGAGTGCCACCTCTGAAGCCGCCCTCTCGCATGGCTCATGAATTATTCGCAGTTGTGTCACTTGTGGACGCCCCTGCCAACTGGCTCTGATACACAGACACAATAAAACAGTCACTTGTCGCATTAAATCACATGCACACGGAACACAGTGCATTTTTTTATAAACTGTGTATGAAAGACAGCCAAATAATAAGAACACAAAATAGATATTAATAATATTTTTGTAAGCTCTATCTGTACATTAATTAGGTATTGTTTCAAACAAAACAATTTGAACATGTTGTACAAATTTGTATATGTTTTGTTTTAGGATAATTGTCTATGTATGTTTGAGTTTATGCACTTAATGACTAATTCTGATAAATTTGAATGTGGTTTTCATGTATTGCAACAAGCAAAACACAACAACAGTTAGTACCTATTTGTTTACAATTTGATCACAAACAAAAAAAGTTACAAACTTTTGTTTATCCCGAACTCTAAACATGCTAGATCTCGGACTCAACTAGTAATATTAATAAATACGTCTACTTATGTCTAAATTCCAAGATTTGTAAAGGCTTGCGCATTATTCTCTAGTATGACATAATACCATTTACTAGGAAAGAGTTGAAAATTCACAGGTAAATACGAGTAAAAGGCTTCCGTGAGTGTAAAATATTTCAGTTTCATTTTAACAGACCATTAACGTCAAAACACAATCTCCATGTTATATTTTGACAATAAAGACCACATATTAAATATTGTATGACAAATTATTTTATCAATGTTGGCCATATTATAATGCAGTCGCTAACTCGATATATCCGCACTTCCTAAAAGGTAGATACCTGAGAGATTATACTATAGCCTTAAGTACACCTTTTGTACTATATTTTATTAGTCTATAGATAAAAGAGTCCATTTACACTACCTTGTCTAAAATACGTCATTGACGTTTTTAGACGTATTACTCTCTAAATCTATATATTACATATACTTCTATTCGTATATATCTAATATATCGTTTAAATTCATTCTTTGTTCATGCCACATATAATAGTATAAAGTATAGCCACGATTATTTGATCAATGACGCAAATATTTCGCAAACTGTTCTCATTATTCTTACTATTTTTCAGCTCTATGGGGTGCCGCTATCTCCGGTACCCTATTGTTATAAATAAAGTTTGATAATCTAACTAATGTACTAAATATAAAATTATCAAATGATAGATAAAATCTATTTAATTCTCTACTACACTACTAATACTATAAAGACGAGAGATTTTATTTCTTTTTAATGGATAAAAAATTCTTGGCTCGTATTGTAAGTGACATTACCAGCATGTAACATAGGCTGTATTCCACTGGGGCAGCGTCTAGAATAAAAAACATTAAGAAAATTATATTTTTGTTTATTTTATCACCCATTCATACTCATATTATAATTACGAAAGTATGCCTGTCCATCCGGCTATTTGTTGCCTTTTCATAACTAAACGCCTGAAAGAATTTTAATGACGTTTTTAATATGAATATACAATATATATTGTATCACATGGACGGGCACTATGCCGTTATATAAAGCCTATGCTTTATATTAAAAAACGATATGAAGAGGTGAAATTATGGATAAAAGTTTACGCATATACAGTTGCGTGTACATACTAATAGTGGAAATAACTGTAAATAGTAATAAAATTTAGGCCGACCCCAAATAAATGGGATAAGGAAGAAGCAGATTATGATGAGTAATAAAATTTAGAATGATAAAACTCATAATTATTAAGACAATACCTAATCCTAATAGAGTTACAAGCTACATTTTTATTAATTAAATTCTTGTCTTTACAGATCGTGACTACAAAAGCAATCGTTAGAGGACTCTTCATAATCGTAAGCGAATTTAAAATTACTGTTATCAGGAAATTGGGAGTTTAATTAATGTACTCGAGCTTTTATAAATGCGTAGCAGTCTATTTGATTGAAATTAAGGTCAATTGTTGAATGACAGATAATCGGATTTCATATATAAATCTAAAAACAGTTCTTTATTTTATATATTCATGTTACACTCAGTACTTATTTATTAATAAAATAATGTAACAAGTAATTAATGTAGAAATTTCTAATATTTGTGACATAAAAGTAACACAGGTATTAACTTAATTGAAATGCTAATATTAAATTATTCGTAGACATAAACAACTTTTCTTAAATACAAAATTAAAGTACCATAATTAAATTTTATTATCCTACATTTTATGATGGATAATAATTTGATTAATAAATTTATTCTCTTTTAAATATGCATATTATTTGAGATAAAAATATAAATGAAATATTTTAGTTTCAGTATCATAAATTATACTTCTTGTAATTAAATATACACTCTGCAAAATATAAATTAATATGAATATTAATTTAAGTCAAATGTTCTACAATATTAAATGTATCCATCTACTTTCATTGGGAAGTAAGTCAATAATGTTAATGGAATTGCAAATTGTGTTTATTTTAAGTACTCTACCGCCAAATGTCACCCTTAGAGCACTTACGATAATTAGATATTTGGTTGAAAAATACACTAAGAGCTTGCTGCTTCGTAACAACTAGCTGTTACTGCCATATCATTTGCATTATTTAAGACAAAAATCATCTGTTTCAGTCCCCAAAATACAACCTATCTTCACGTTAAATTGCATTTAAATCAGTTTAGCCGTGTAATCGTGAAAGAGTAACAGACAGACACGCTTTCGTTTTATTATACTAGCTGTTACTTACAGCTTGGTTTCATTTTGTTCTGAGATAAATAAAATTACCTATATCCATCTTCATTTTGTGAACTGTTCAGCCATTTAGTCACGAAAACTCTCCAAAAGATAGACACAATTCGTAATTCGTATGTTATTATTTCCTACTAATATTCAATATTAGTAGGTATGGATATTAATTGCCGTCTGAACAGCATAATTAATTAATAAGGAGTACCTTGTTCAGGATAATAGCTATCATCAAACAGAACACACAAGATTAGTATATATATGAAGTAATTGTTATATGCATATATCTGATACGACATGCAATTAAATATTTAGTAACCTTCACGTCTACATGTCCACGTATCTCATTACATAATGCAATTAGACATTTTTTAACAATTATTAAATGACCGTCAATACTATTATTATATTGCATACTTAATTACAGTACAAGTAGTAGACATTTATTTTTAGAACTGGATGACCTAAACAGTACCTAGTAATTTTGTTCATATCATTGGACACAATCCACCTTCTAACAAGTTGGATGGTGGTTCTTGAATCTGACTCCAGTTAATTAATATTACCTTAAGTATGTTTAATATTGACGTCCTCGGTGGTTTAGCAGTTTAACACTCCCCTTTACTTCCGTCGGTCGTGGATCCGATTCCCCGCGCGATACAAACATTTGTATTCATGAGTATGATTGTTGTATTGGTCTAGGTGTTTTCTATGTAGATTATATACTATATATAATACTATACATAATACTATTTTTAATTACTGTTCTCTAAAAACATAAAATTGAAAAATTAATAAATAAAACATAGAGTCATTTGATCTACTAAACTAGATACATTCATAACCTCAAGATATATTAACCACTCACTTCATTGATACGTCTTTTAATAATGTGTATAAAACCTTTATTGTAAACTAATCACTTGGTTATCAGTTAAATAAACTATACATCCGATGAAGCGTTAATATAATTAAAGATACTGCGTTAAAAGCTTCACTGCCAATATCATCCGCGACGGGGCGGAGGGAGGGTCTGAGGCTAAATGGATTAGGGTAAACAGCATAAAGAGCCTTTTGTATCCGAAATTAAATGTCACCCGACGTCATTATTCAGGCTCTGGGTGACACGCACGCGATCTGCCGTCTGCCACTCTGATATAGACGCGGTACCGATTACACGACACGACACGACACACGACTTTACCAGACACTTTTTTTTTCGGACTACTCTAATGCCGTTGGCCGCAGTTGGCCTTTACAGCTTCACGGGACGATAGGAGGCGAGTGCATATGGCACTCCAAACTCGAGGAAGGACTTATGAAATGGCTCAAGGCCTGATGGATAAGACTTCTGTCTGAGGGCAGCGCTAGGGGTTCAAACCTAGGTTCAGGCCATCGTAATTTGGATCCCCTTTTCAATTAGACGGGGGATCGATTGGAGGGAATCGCGTTGATCTAGTGCATTAGCATAACATCTTGCTACCGATGGTACTACCGATTATCGTACTACGATATTATTTGTACTCATGAGTATAACGTTTTTGTATTCATCTGGGTGTTTTTAATGTATCTTATTATAGGTATGTGTAGTTCCAAAAAACACGTACATCAAAATTTCTATCAGATATCTAGCAGCAAAACACAAGCTCTGCTGAGCTTGGACTAGATGGCGCTGTGTAAATTGTCCCAGGTTATTACTATTATTATTACCTTGCAGTCTCTACGACTGTGACTGTGTGTACTGACCCCGTGAACTTATAATGCATTTAGGTCTATATAAACTTTTATATTTGAAACTGATGTATGAAGGTTAATGATGTGATTAATAAATTTATTCTCTTTATGTTAGGAATGGTGTCAATATTTTTAAACAGCGTTTGTATCTTCAGGCCTCAATGGTATGTGGAAGGGTCTTCTGAACTCACTACAATCCATTTGAATTTCTGCGCTTGAGATCTATATATATATCCTAAAACGCATTATATTATATTAATAATATTCCGTAAACGAGATTTTGTATTGGCCATTTTCTAATTGTGAGATAAAAATAGAACAATATTCGAATAGCTACAGATTTACAGATAAAATAACTATGATAATGGTGTGTATACTAAGCAATTTACGCAACACCACAACAACCACTATCTGATTATACAAAATATTCAATTTTCAAAAACTTTTACTAGAACACACAGTTTTAGTACAAATTATAGTACTGCGGCTGTTATTACACTTAATATGCGTAAATAATAAATAATAGAGTTAAGAAACTGTTAATTTACATAAAAATTAAAATGTTTATATAATGTTATTTAGTCGTACAGTATAAAGAGTTTCGTAGCTACTAAACCATTAATTATATTTGTAACGGCTGTCGAAGATCTCTCTAAACAAAACTTTAAGGGCGAATTAAATAAAGGAAAGCCATTTGAAACAAATCCTAATACTATTGTAACCTTGTTTTGTCAACCTTACTTAATTAAGCAATATTATATAACTACATATTAGCTTAAGTTATTTATTATATAATGAACATGCCTATTATATGAATAATTGCATAATATCAATATCCTCAATCATAAATTTTCTCATGTATATTCATAATAAATCTGTACATATTATAAAACAGAAGACGTCTATAGGTATGTTAACGATAACCTCAAAAACTACTCAATGCATTTTTCATGCGGTTTTCATCAATTAACAGAGTAAATTCTGAGAGGGGATTCGTTAAAGTTTTATGTAAAATATTAATCAGGTCAGAAAGTATATACTTGAAATAAACATGTTCAAGTAATACATAATTTATTCTTAAAGATATTTACGAAATCAAGATTTAAAATGCGATCGTATTATTGTTGTGTTGTGTGATTTTATTTAGATAAAAACTTTTTTGAATAATATTCAAATACGGATAACACAAACATAATAGTTATATAATTCATCGGCAACTCATATTTCTGGGACTTCATTTATATACTACCACAGCAAATAAGCTGACATACTGCATTTGTAAAATATTTCCCTGGAATACAATGGTATAAACTTTTATTATTACATTTTTTAAATCGAATTATATTATTAAATAAATGCAGAATATATAATTACGGTTACCCCGTAAAATAAGTTCATGATTAATATATACTAATGCAAAATAAAAAAGGTAATCGAAAATTCGAAAACGTAATACATAATTTATTCTTAAAGATATTTACGAAATCAAGATTTAAATATACACTTATTATAATAATGCGATCGTATTATAATTGTGTTGTTAAATCTATTTTCAAAAATTTTTAATTTCTAAATTACACCATTATTGTACTAGATATGCGACTTGTTAACGCTCATATGTCATAAATAAACATATATGTCATAATTGTACGGAAACACAACTGATTATTATATAATCATTGTCTCCTTATGAATTTAAATGAATAAACGTTTGCTCTGCAATTTTATTTTATAAATACATTATAATCCTGGTATAGTATAACTGATGACCCTGCTCTTGGACAAGACAACATATAATATTAAAAATGTTGTCAATACATATGAACAACATTTCCTTGGAAGAAACAACATCTACCGTTCCATCCGAGCTATTCAGGTTCGGAATACACGTTTCTCCATTCTGAGTAGAGTCAGCAAGTAGAGGGATAGTTTGCAATTTAGAATATCACATCTATTATTTTGATTTAACAAAATTTTATTATGTTATTGGCCAACTGGACCACCAATTTTCAAAAGAATTTAAAGAAATGTTTAAACTGTTTATTAAATATCAATAAATATGACATTTAAATTTGTAAATATCACATTGTCACCATTCAAGGGGTAAAATAAAATAGCAGATAAAAGTTTTTAAATAAATTCGTCATATATAAGCTAGAACGATGAAGCTTTTTTCTTACGCTTTTTTGGGTCAGTTTAAATAAATACCTTACTAATATTATGAAAGTGAAAGTGACTCTGTCTGTCTGTCTTAAAAGCCAAAACTTCTGAACTTTTAAATGATATATACATAGGTTACTTTTTAATGCCAAAATTATAAGAGACTGAAAGAGGAATTTTTTAAAAGTTTAAGCGCGTAAAAATATAATTAACGAAAAT